TCAACCCGCGAGGAAGCGCTGCTGTGAACCTGTTTCACGAAGGGGAAGCTGGTGCTCAGAAGGCCACACAGTATGTGGCAGAGCCCAGATTTGAACTCAGGCAGGGGAAATCCAGAGTCTGTGCTCTCAACTCCCGTGATACCGCAACGTGGGGCTGCACGGTGCTTTGCCGTGGCTGCATCAGGATAAACCAATCTTTCTCATAGTGTGGTCATTGGATGGTTTGATGATTTAGAGTTTTCCCTAATATACATAATGCTGCAATTAGCACCTTTTTTTCCTAGAATGTGTGTGGGGGGGTGGTTGCATGAACATATTGTGTATTTCATGTTATTTATTTAGGGTAGATTTCCAGAAGTAGAATTATTGGTTCAAATAATATAAAAACCTTAAAGTCTTTATGAATATTGCCAAAGTAGTTTCCAGAAAAATTATGCTTACTTATGATTGCCCTCACCAACTTTGAGGATTACCATTAGAAACAATACAAGCAAAAAATTAAAAACCTTTGATTATAAAATGTGTTGGGGAAGATTCCTTCCTTCTTCATGTTGTGGAATAATTTCTGCAGGATAGGCACCAGTTCTTCTTTGCAGGTCTGGTAGAATTCAGGTATGAAACCATCTGGTCAGGGACTTTTTTTTAGGAAGGTTTTTTATTGCTGCTTCAATTTTGGGCTGATATCCACAGACCAATATCCCTTATGAATATAGATGCAAAAATTCTTAATAAAATCCTAGCAAACAGCTGCTCATCAAAAAAATAATTCATCACGACCAAGTGGGCTTTATCCCAGAGGTACAGGGATGGTTCAACATACACAAGTCTATAAATGTGATTCACCACATAAATAGAAGTAAAAATAAAGACCACATGATCCTCTCAATAGACACAGAAAAAGTATCTGACAAAATTCAGCACCCTTTTATGATAATAAGAACACTTAACAAAATAGGCTTACCTCAAAATGATAAAGCCATATATGATAAACCCACAGCAACATCATACTGAATGGGGAAAAATTGAAAGTATTCCTCCTTAGAACTGGAGCCACACAAGGTTGCCCTCTATCAACGCTTTTATTCAACATAGTACCAGAAGTCCCTGCCAGAGCAATCAGACAAGAGAAGGAAATCAATGGCATCCAAATGGTGGCAGAGGAGGTCAAACTATTGCTCTTTGCTGACAATATGATCTTATATCTAGAAAACTCCAAAGATTTTGTCAAGAGACTATTGGAATTGATAAATAAGTGTAGCAAAGTCTCAAATTATAAAATCAATGTACACAAATAAGTAGCATTCCTATACATCAAAAACAGTCAAACTAAGAACCAAATCAAAGACTCAATACCTTTCACAATAGCTACAAAGAAAATAAAATACCTAACAGTATATTTAACTAATGAGGTGAAAGAGCTCTATAGGAAGAACTACAAAACACTGAGAAAGGAAATAGCAGAGGATGTAAACAGATGGAAAACCATATCACGCTCATGGATTGGCAGAATCAACACTGTTAAGATGTCTATACTACCCAAAGTGATCTACAGATTCAATGCGATCTCTCTTAAAATACCAACATCATTTTTCGGAGATCTAAAAAAAATAATTCTACCCTTCGTATGGAACCAGAGAAGACCCCGTAGAGTTAAAGCAACCTTAAGCAAAAATAACGAATTGGCAGGCATCAATTTATCAGACTTCAAGCTATACCACAAGACTATAGTAACCAAAACAGCATGGTACTGGCACAAGAACAGAGATATAGACCAGTGAACAGAACTGAGAACCCAGATATAAAACCATCCTCATATTGCCATCTGATCTTTGACAAAGCAGACAAAAACATACAATGGGGAAAAGAATCCCTATTCAATAAATGGTGCTGCGAAAATTGGACAGCCACATGTGGAAGACTGAAACAGGATCCATACCTCTCACCACTCACAAAAATCAACAGTGGATAATAGATTTAAACCTAAGGCATGAAACCAAAAGAATTATAGAAGAAAATGTTGGAAAAATTCTTATAGACATTGGCCTAGGCAAAGAATTTATGAAGAAGACCCCAAAAGCAATCACAGCATCAACAAAAATAAATAAATAAATGGGACATGATCAAATTTAAAAGCTTCTGCACAGCCAAACAAACTATCACTAGAGCAAATAGACAACCTACAGAATAGGAGAAAATATTCACATGCTACACATCTGATAAAGGGCTTATAACTAGAATCTATATAGAACTCAGGAAAATCAGCAAGAAAAAATCAAACCACCCCATTAAAAAGTGGGCAAAGGATATGAACAGAAACTTTTCAAAAGAGGATAGACAAATGGCCAACAAACATATGAAAAAAATGCTCAATATCTCTATTCATCAGGGAAATGCAAATCAAAACCACCATGAGATGTCACTTAACTCCAGTGAGAATGGCTTTTATCAAAAAGTCCCAAAACAATAAATGTTGGTGTGGATGCAGAGATATAGGAACACTCATATACTGCTGGTGGGACTGCAAACTAATACAACCTCTGTGGAAAGTAATATGGAGATACCTCAAAGAGCTACAAGTAGAACTACCATTTGATCCAGCAATCCCATTACTGGGCATCTACCCAAAGGAAAAAAAGACATTCTATAAAAAAGACATCTGCACTCAAATGTTTATAGCAGCACAATTCACAATTGCAAAGATGTGGAAACAACCCAAGTGCCCATCAATACATGAGTGGATTAATAAAATGTGGTATATGTATACTGTGGAGTTCTACTCAGCCACAAGAAACAATGGTGAACTAACATATTTTGTACTATCCTAGATAGAGCTGGAGCCCACTCTTCTAAGTATCACAAGAATGGAACAACAAATACCACATGTACTCACCATCAAATTGGTACAAATTGAGCAACGATGTCGCTCCATAAATTAATATTACTATATTAGAGACAGAAATGATCTCAGGAGTTTTTCAGGGCTTTGCCCTGAAAGAATATGTGAACATGTTAGTTTGTATATCAAAAGCTACTCCACCGCAGGAGGGCATCTCAAAGGTCAGTGGCAGCTGCTTTCCAAGGTGACGCTGCAGTCTCCAACCTGTGGTTCTTGCCTGCTTTGAATGACAAAGCAGGTCTGCAAGGAGCCACAGGATGAGAGCTGATCAAAGAGAGCCCACTCGAGAGACAGACACCTGTGGCTAAAAGCAATTAGCCCAAGGGACAGTTCCTGCTTAAACTCCTGACTACCTGTCTCCATCCACAATAACTAGACAAAGAAATATGGAGCCACTATACCTCTGTTTAACCCTTCTGTTAAGTGATAAATTTACCTTAGAACTTAGAAGTTTGTCTTTGAAAGATTTTGTAACCATTTGTTCACGTAGATAGAGTTAATTAAGGGATCTATAGAAGCCTTTTGAAATACTTTTAACCTAAAACGAATTACCTGTTTTTATGTAAATCTGTTACCCCTGGCAGCTGATCACTGTACCTATGAATACCCATGTAAAACTTCACTCTGAGCCTCACAATTGACGGGGATATTGTAGGGACCCCCGAGTACCCCCACTTTGCCTTTTCTTTATAAATCTATAAAACTATACCTTCGTCTCTGTGTATTCTTTTATTTCTATTATTTTTCCATTTTCTATTATTTTCTTATCCTTTGTGACGATCCCTGCCTAAGGGACCCAATTTTTTGCTGGGAGCGTAGCTAACTCCCTGCACGACACTAATGTGCACACATAGAAGTAACATTCATAGGGTATCGGGCAGGTAGGAGGGGGTGTGGAGGGGATGGGTAAAAACAAAAAAAGAACCTTTGATTATAGAAAATGGTCTCTTACTATGTGATCTGTGCTTTTTCAGTCCCTGTGAAGTGGAATGCTGGCCCTGAGCACCCATCACTGTCACATACCCTCTCCTGCAAGGGCCACTCTGTCTTCCTTCCTTTTCACTTGCCAGTTTGACCTGCACAGTCAGTAAGTGGTGGCCAAGGCTAGAAAGGCTTTTTCTTTCGACCCCACTGATGCCCCTGCTCTTCATGGCTGCGTGCGGACACTGCCCGTTCTAGGAGCATTGCAGCAGCAAAGGGGTGATAATGATTCATTGGGCACGTTCTTTTTCTTCCCCAGGAGACCACTGACTCAGAGCTGGGGACTTGGACGGAGCTGAGCCCGTGCCCACCGCTCTGGGGAGTGTCAGCACCCTGTTGTTTGTATCAGTGATGACTTTCTAAAGGACACAACTGAAAAGACTTGCATGCTGGTCATGGCCTGGCCACGCTTCACTCCACAGCCAGCCCCTCCCTGCAGCCACCAGCCAGTTGTAGTGGGTGCTCAGTGAGAAGCTGGGGAGGCCGCGCCTGGCGCCTCGTTCCACGGTTCATCTGCAGTCATGCTGCTGACTCTGCGACACACGTGTACGATGTTTCACGTGCAGAAAGAGCTCTGCGAGCACTGGCTGTGATGGCTGTACACCGGGTGGCACGTCCAGGATGGACGGCAGGCATGTCCCCCACGGTTACTGCGAGGAATCAGGGCTGGGCCACAGGAATACTTTAAATGTGGACACGTGGACTACAGCTTAACTTCCAGTCACGTTGCAGAGCTGGGGAGATGGCAGGCAACACGGTCATCTGGTGGTGCAGCCTCAGAGCACAGGAAGGTCACGGGGAGGAAGGAAAAACCACGGCCACCACCAATCAGCCACTGTGCTCAACCGCTTCCAATATCTTGATCTGAGTTTCTGTATTTATTTCCTTCCCGTCCACATAAATGCTGTCTGCCTGACATAGCCATGGAACTCGCTAAATATGTTCGTGTCACATGAAAAATAATAACAATGGGTGTCGTGTATCAAGGGCTTACCCTACACACCAGGCCCATTACGGACGTTATCTTATTTAATCTCAGAATCCCTCACTGCTACCACTGCGCAACTCACACTCTCCCAAGAGAGCCCGTGACACCCTCGTGCTCTGCGCAGCCCAGACTCACCATTCTTTTCAACTGGTACGTGGCAGCGAGGACAGGGCTTAGTGGTTTTCTTGATAGTTTCCTTGGAGGCCTCTTCCCAGCGAGCTTGCTCTGCGGCTCTTTCATCAACTCTGTAGGCCTGGGCAACAAAGACAAAAGGAGTTTAAATTCAGATCTTTATTACTGGGATTGAAGTTTAGGTTCCTTGAAACACCAGTACAGGAAATTCTTAAAGATGGAAGTGCCTTTGGGCAAGAAGCCCAAATATCAGCTCCCTTGACAAGTGCTGGACAGCCACTGCCTAGATGGGAGCACAGTGCTCCTAGCACGTGACACCAGCCGGGAAGGCACAGCTCAGTTTATAGCGTGAAGTCTCCTACTCGTGGTTTTGCGTAATTGTAATGAGTAACATCTATTAGGGACTTAGCATGCAGGCAAGGTGATCCCTGCGCATATGCACTCCTCATTAGACCTGTCCTCAGGTGCGCAATGGGAATACTAGCTTTTATTTTGCATTGAGGATCAGACAAGTGAAACCATGGCCCAAAGCTGGTAGGTAAGAGGGTTGGTGTGACTCCACAATCTTTGCTTTTAAACTGTCCTCTACATCTTCCCTTCCCTTCTTGCACCGGAAAGATGGGGAACTCCAAATGTTGTCACAGAAGGGACAGGCGCAGGAACAAGGAAGTGAAGTTGAGGTGACGGAAGGCACCCTGCGGAGTCTTTGTACTCAGCCCTGAGGACTCCTGCTCAAGCCCTGGAGTCTCTGGCCCGGCGGGGCGGGGGGCATGTGCGCTCCCGGAGGCTTTAGTACCCGCTGCCACACTAAAAGCATTTTCAGCCAGTGAATAAAACATTTATTCTAACAAAGATACTATGCTCAGTCCAAGACAAATATTCAGAGCTCAACTTCAAGAAACCTCATGCCTAGCAATAGCACATTATTGGAGGGTAATTACAAACCGGAAAGTTGCAAATTTATATTACTGTGCTTTGTTCTTTCAGGGAAGAAAGAAAAAAATGATGGAAAAGGAAGAGAAATAATTGTGTCTCAAAATAGCAATTTCCTCTCACTTCTTTTCTGACCCTGGAGCACACAAAGCAGAGTGAGTGTGACCCGCAGACCCCCGTGTGTCTGCGAAGGGCTGTGCATCTATCATCTGCAGCAGCAAGGCCCCCAGGTCGGTGCACTGCAAACTCACCACCTGGCAGGGCGAAGGAAAGGGCCCCCGTGCAACCACTGCACACCAGAGTGCTGCAGGTCACTGCACACGAGTGTGCGGGCAGCGGAGGCAGCTATGAGGGTTGGAACCTCGGGATGAAAGCGGGAAAAGGAAGAAGCCAGAGCAGCAGTTCCTGATGTTGTCACCCGCAAGGACATGCTTCCTTCTCATCTCCTTTGCACACTCTGCAAAGGGCTGAATGCTATAGCCTTCCCCAGATTCCGATGTTGAAATCCTCGCCCCCAAAGTGATAGAATCAGGACACGGCGCCTTTGGGAGGTGACTAGGCCATGAGGCATTAGCGTCCTTATCAAAGTGACCCCAGAGCACTCTCTGGCCCCTTCCTTATGTGAGAACATGATGAGAAGTCAGCAGTCTATGAAGAAGGCCCTCACCGAACCAGCCCTGCTGGCACCCTGATCTCGGACCTTGAGCCTCCAGAACTGCCGGAAATAAATGTTTGTCGTTTATAGAGCCTCAGTCTCTGGAATTTGGTTATAGCAGCCCCAACTGCCTAAGACAGACTCCACGTTTTGAGAGTTTTGATTGTGAAACACAACACGTTCTTGTTATTTTAAATGAACGTTGTTCTGTGAAAGGGCTGTATATACAAAGCAGCCCCCAAATGCCAAAGAGACCACAGAGGGAGGCAGACAAATCCAGTTTGTTGGTACAGGGCGACTCATTAGAGGAACTTACAGACAGAAGCATGGTCCTGGGTGGCCATGGGACAGGCAGACGTCCAGACTCAGGGCTTATAGCATATCTAGGGGTAAAAGTCTACATGCTCTGGAAAGAATGAGCAGGTGGCTGAGACAATGCTGTGAGTGTCACAGCCTAGGATTTCTGTACCACTGTCAAGGGTTGTTTGGGAGGACAGGTGAAACTTACAGCGGATAGGTGTTCCTGCATGAAGAGTCATACGTCAACTGGACGTTTCGGAGGCATTCCCAGGCTTGGGGTTAGTCAGAAATCACATGGTACATTAGCATCTAAAATAGTCCCTTTTGTCCCCACAGAAGTACAGTTTCTTCAGTATTGCAAATATTGAAACCTTTATCGCTTGCTCTAGGGGCCAGAGAGGGTCTGGAGCCTCAGGTTGGCACTGCCTGGGCGGGGCGTGGATTAGTGCACACCGTGGGCAGCAGTGTGGGTAGACAGGGACCTCAGCGCCCACTCCACAGAGAGCCCAAAGCAGCCCAGGTGCTCACCGGAGCATCTGTGAGACAAGGACACCAAGGACACACCCTCGTGGAGATGCCCACATTTAAAGGTCAGCGACAAGAGGAGAAAACGCCAAACCTGAGAAACAAACAAATGGTGACAGTGTAGAGTGCTTTTTAGCACCGAGCTAGAGGAGTTTCTTTCAAGCGGGTGGGCCAGCCAGCCAGCTCTCTCTCGGGGAGCGGGTGGGGGGCAGGAGTTCACTCTGACCTGCACCTGATGAGGGCAAGGTGGGTCGCAGCCTGGAAGAGTTAGGGCTCAGCTTGCAGAACACTGATAAGGTGTGACTTTTGTGTCTGGTAGAGAATATGCGCCCAAAGGTTATGGTTTCGTTTCCCCGTAGGCTGTGAACCAGTGCTGTGTATAACTTAGAAATCACATTTCGGCATTCTTTCCCACGAACTACCCGGCATCCTGTTCCTCCAACGCCCATGGAACCAGCTCTCTTGTCCTTTTGCTGGTTTCCCCATTAATTCGATGACTAAGACATCTGCACAGGAGGACACGTGTGTAGAAATCACGCTGCAGCTGTCAGAGGGAGTGGCGGCCAGCTGGTCTGGGACCCAGGTGCCCAGGAGGGGACGGTTTGAAGAGACAGTGACAAGGTTGTCACATTAGGAAGGGTGCTCTGCGGCAGAGGCTTTACCTCGGGCACGCAGTTTGGTAATTGCAGCATCCCTGAAAGGCAGGTCTTGTTAGCACCTGTTTGGGCTGAAGAAATCAGGGCGTCCTGAAACGAAACACTTTGCCCACCCGAGATCACACGGCCTGTGAGCGGCACGTTCTGCATCTAACCCCGAGCTGACTGAGTGCACACCCCGTGCTCCTGCAACTGCAGCGTGTCTCTTTCATCATGACGCCACAGGCTCCAAAGACGACGAGGGGGCCGAATGCTAACACGATGCCATGGAGAACTGGAGGTCCTTGGTGACTTCCAAGAGAGTAGTTTTTATTGTTTTTAAATATTTTATATATTTTTTTAGAGATGGGGTCTCACTCTGTCCCCCAGGCTGGAGTGCAGCGGGGCCGTCATAGCTCACTGCACCCTTGAACTCCTGGGCTCAAGCAATCCTCCTGCCTCAGCCTCCCCACCGGCTGGGATGACAGGCATGTGCCACCATGCCCGGCTAATTTTTTCTATATATTGTTAGCTGTCCAATTAATTTCTTTCTATTTTTGGTAGAGATGGGGGTCTCGCTCTTGCTCAGGCTGGTCTCGAACTCCTGAGCTCAAACGATCCGCCCGCCTCGGCCTCCCAGAGTGCTAAGATTACAGGCGTGAGCCACCGCGCCCAGCTCAGAGAGCAGTTTTAAAACAATTTTTGGCAAAAGGGTAATGGGAGAATCTGTCCCCCTTCCCCCGGCCCCAGCCAGAGCCCACCCCTCTCCTGCATCCTTCGACACCATCAAACAACTCCACTCCTGGCGCGTACCTGCTCTTCTGCTGCCACCCGGCCGGCCCTGCTTTCCCCCTGACCTGCGGAACCTGCTCTCAAGGACATGAGGGGGCTCTGATTGCAAAGCCAACGCCTTTTCTCCGTCGTCATCAGCACTGACTGTCTGGCTGCCCCTGACACTTGCAGGCTACCTTCCTCCATGGCAGCACAGTCACCCAGAAGGCCCTCGGGAGTCCCCTGCCCCCTCCCTGGCATGGCAGTTCTTCTTGTCACTTCCTACCGTCACTGGGTGGATCCACGGGGAGGAAAGGGCATCATGGCCCAGTCACTGCTGCCGGCCTGGCTGACCTCGGGATCAGGAGAAACAGCCTTAGAACTGCCAGTGGTGAATATTTCGGACCTTTGACGGCCACTTCCTGGGGGGATTGTCTACCGAGATGAGCACATCTTTGTTTTGCATCCTTCATGAATGTCTTAAGGCTGATGTTCAGATCCTTCCAGAATGATCTCAAGCAGTGGCTGTGTGCCCACTGGTTCAGGATCACCTAAGGATTTTTAAGTGATGCAGATTCTTGTGCTCACACCCTGGGGATTTGGATTCAGTAGGTCTGGGGTGGAATCCTTAAAAGTGTCCCAGGGCTTGTGAGGTGCAGGAGGTTTGGGAGCCCTTCACCCCCTGGACGGCAAATCCCGCCCGAAGAAGAAATTGGTTAGTTGGATAAACGCACCCTCCGTTAGGGCCTGAGTCATCGAGCTACAAAGCTATGGCTTGTGGTGCCAGGAGGAGAGGGTTTGTGTGACTCAGCATTATCGCCCTGCCACGCACTAAAGTGTGCTCATAGAGCGCTGCGTAACAATTGGGTTAATTTACGGAACTCTGTCCCTGCTTACTGCTCACCTATCACAGGAAGGACAACGAGCGTGTGCGTGCGTGTTCGTGTGTGTGTGTGTGTGTGTGTGAGAGAGAGCACATGCCAGGTGGGGGTGGAGGTGGAACAGGACAAGTCTCTCTTCTTATGTATTTCATGGCTGAAAACAGCAACTTCCTGTACTATGTGTGTGTGTGTGTGTGTGTGTGTGTGTGTATACACATATAGTACACACACACACACACACACACACACACACACACACACACACACGCAGAGACAGACAGAGTCAAAATGGCCTCAGCAAGCCAAGTATGGCCTGATAGCCAATCTGGGGCTTAAGAAGGAATAATAGTTTTGTTGAATATGGTGATGACTTTAAGTGAACGATTAGAGGTGTCTGTCATAGGAGGAGTGGCTTTGCAGG